TCTACAACGAAGAGTACGACGAGCATGACAAGCCGCACCAATCTGACTCCCTAGGCGCTCACATCCAACGTCAGCTGGGATTCGATCTGTGGTTTGTCATGCTAGGCTTTTTCTTTGTTGCAGTCTCCGAGGGGAAACGTCTCCAGGAGAACCGCACTGATATTGCGTTCTCGCTCTTCCCTATCCTGTTTGAGATTGTGTCTGCATACGGCACTGTGGGCTTATCAATGGGTTACCCTGGTACCGAGACAAGTCTGTGTCGGGAGTTCAATGGCTTGTCCAAGGTAATTGTCATTGCGATGCAGGTGCGTGGGCGCCATCGTGGTCTACCACATGCGCTGGATCATGCGATCCTGTTGCCGTGTGATTTGGTGGAGCCGGACGAGCAGGGCCGGAGGCCAGAGTGGTGGTGGAAACGGTGGCTCAGGAAGAAGAGCTCTGATCTGGGAAACTTGTTTACGCATGACTGACAATTTACTCAGAACGTATGTTCGGTCATGACTGTCTCCTGGTGCAGATTGCTCCCTTATGGACATTGACTAGATTGACAAAAAGTTCCACTATAAATACTAGCCCACCACTGGCAATCAATATGGCTTTGTGTAACAACTAGTAGTCCCTTACGTCTCAAGAAATTAACTACAAGCAACTACCCTAGCCTGTTATAAACATAGAAGAGCTAACCACCACCACCGCCACAACATCCACCCTCCCCGAACAAGACATGACCCTAGCAACCTAAACCTTCTCAACATCCTCAATAACCGTCTTATCATCCCCCTTCACCCCCTCCTCGAGCTTTATCTCCTTCTGCAGCGCGATCGCATCCACATCCTGCGCCCCCGCAACAGCCGTCTCAAAGTGTCTGCCGCGCTTCTCAGGCCCAAATGCAGTGGTGACGGCAATGCCCGTCGCAATGATAGCCGTAGCGACGCCCATAACGGGCCCATACGCGGGAGCTGGGTTCCCCGATGAAGAAGCCACGAAGGTCTTTTCGGCAATTGCGTTGACGATTTGAGCGGAGGGAGAGGAAATCATGTTTCCGACTTGGTAGGTTATTCCTTTACCAAATCATAATGTGTTAGCATCTTCAATTCAAATAGTGGAACGGAGTGAAACAAACCAGGAAATGAAGATCTGAAAGCAGGAGGTGAGAGCTCATTGAGATGGATCGGAATCACGCCCCATGCACCCTGAATGAAGAATTGGATGAAGAAGCCCGTTACGCTGAGGGCGCGCTCGCCTTCAGGCAGGATCCACGCGGGGATCAGAATGCCGGATATGAGGGCGGAGATGATGATGGCGCGACGGCGGCCGAAGAACTGGGAGAGATAGCCGATGATGGTGCCACCGACGCAGGCGCCGGTTTTCATGAGGATGGAGGCGCGGGAGGCGGCGGCGTTGTTGAGGTCTTTTTGTGTGAGCATGAAGGTTGTGTACGAGTCTTGGGATGTGTGTGAGTAGTAATTGAACTAAGGATGATGTTAGCTGTGTTTGATTTTGAGGTTGGAGGGCATACCCAGGTCATGAGGATCACGCAGTAAATGCACATCTTCCACTCTTGGGCAAGCATTTGTTTTGTTTCGCGCCAGAAGGCTCCGGGGTCGGAGGAGACTCTGCCTGTTTTTTTGGCTTCGATGAATTGCTTCGATTCGGGGAAGAATATGCGGATGACGCCGACGCCGAGGGAGATGCCAGCTGGGGGTGGTGGTTAGGGATGTTCATGAAGAAGTTACTAGGTGGCATGCAGTCAACTCACCTGCAATCCAGAAGACAGTCTTCCAGCTATCTGTTGCGCCGCCCACACCGAGATTGGCACATGCTGCTAGGACGTATCCGAGGGAGTATCCTTGCTGTAGAATGCCGGACATGAGGCCGCGAGCGCTCACACTGATTTGTTGGTGAATTGAGTGAAATGTGAGTAAAGTATGAAAGAAATGTGAGGGGAAGGGGCGCGCGTGCGAGAGGCGAATGCAAATGCAAGAAGCCCAAGGCATCACACAGAAAGGTTGAAAGGTTGAAAGGTTGAAAGATTGAAAGATTTTCATTGCACTTACGGGCAGTGTTCCAAAGCCATGGCGATCGCATTACCATACACGCCACCCATGAACAACCCGAAGAGGCTGCGAACTGCCAGGAATTGCTGGAAAGTGTGGCTATAAATAGTAGCGATTTGGAGCACGCCGAGCACAATCATATTGAGGACCATTGGCCACTTGCGTCCAAATTTGTCACCGGCAAGACCAAACAAGGCAGCTCCCACGCTTCGCAAGAGCAGAGTGAGAGTAATGGCGGTCGAGACATCTGTTTTTGAACGGCCGTAGTACTTGGAGAGCTTCACGGTCTGGATGGACAAAGCATGAAAGTCAAAGGCATCCGCAGTCCATGCAACCAAGCCCACTAGGAAAAACAGCCAGTCCCGAGCGCTCAGCTGAGAGAATAAACTGATAGGATTCTGAAGACGGTCTGGGGCTTGCCATTCTGTGCGAGTTTCTCCATACTCGTTGGTCACCACAACTCGCTGCTTCCATCGGAACAGGTCCCCCCATGCCTGTTTGGCAGTGGCCAGGATACCGTCCGCAAGGGGTTCTGCTGGTTCGTTTGCAGTGTTCATTGTTGCTCGTTTGAAGCTTTATACTGCTCTGGATACTTGTAAAGAAGTAAGGAGATGCAAGCTCTCTTTATATCCCTGCTGCATTCACTGTCATTGTGCCCAGTGAATTCCCACCGAGCACCCCCACATCATGCGATGGGATCAATCTCCGCATATTCCCCAGATTTTCGTCCGTTCTTCCCCGCGAGCAATCTTGGGATTGGGCGGGCCAAGGTTGCGCCAAGCAGTTGGGCGGCATGCTCTTGTCCATGCGCCAGCAAATGTGCCAGCCACGCGACATGGGGTCCGCTCAACATTACTAGCAGTTCCGACCCTATCGTGAGACGTTGGGAGTGAAGGAAAAGGTTTATGCCAAGGCCAGGAGAGAGGGGTTTGTCTTGCTGCTATCTGAAGTGACGGTGATGGCGGTCCTGCGCCACGAGGGCAAGCAAGGTCTGGCGCCATCCATGATTTGCCAAACCGGGTAATATTGGGTTGTACAAACCCCGCGGAGAATGACTCGTGCCTCTCTGCTCGTGCGCTGAAAACTTTACCATGGATGTATCTGTTGTCGATGGGTTAGATTCTCCGAGATCGGTGCTGTAGTTTCCTGGCCTGAGACTGAAATTGACTCACGGTGACACTGGTCCGCACTAAATATCCGATCAACAAAGCAACCGCTCTAGCCATTTATATACCCACAAAAGGCGGCAATATGCCATTACCTCCTAGACATCTCTGGTTCAGATGAAGGGAAAGCAGAAGCTTGCCCAATTCGCGTCGCATCGCCAATTCCACCGAAGAAAGAGAAGCAAGGAGTCTGGGGCAGATGGGAAAGGCAGAACAAAGAAACAGAGCAGATCACTAGTAGAACAGGTGACGTTTACCTTTCCAGGTATTACTGGATTGATACCATCACCCCTGCTCTTGATTCAATGCTCTCTCTCTTTCCATGCAGGTCAACGAACTCCCAACATTAATATAATTCCTTCATTTCAATCATTTGGCATCTTCAGGTAAAAAAAGAGAAAAAAAAAATCAATTGCAAAAACATACAACAGAAGGGATTCGCTGGTGGTCACCCACCCAACTACTAACCTCCCGGCGTGTGGCTTGAGTACGGCTGAGCGGACGGGAAGCCCTATTTTCCACACCCTGTGGTCGTATGTACTTGTTATCTACTTGGAACAGATTATATCCTTACTAGTGTTATGATCCTTATGGAATCTTTCGGCGCTGCTTGATATCTAGGGTTGGAGTAGAGTCTCCTTAGATAGTGATGCCTTTTTTTTTACTAATTCGCTGAGTAATGGTTTGGTAGTGCTTGGTGTGATGTACTTTTTCGTAAGGTTTCATGAGCTCGATTCTCGAGAAGGATTGAATTTCGATGGCTGCTTATTTTGGTCGCTTGGTTGCTTGCTTGTTTAAGGAGGAGGGTGGGGGAAATGAATGAATGTGTGTGATGTGTGTGCTTGTGCGACAGCTGAACTTGGCATTGAAAGCTGGGTCAAGGCATCTGGGATCAGTTGCGTTGAAATAGTAGGGAGATCGGAGTTGGTATTGATGAGGCAGGATAATATAACGATGTCCATTTATTTTAATGTTCAGTCAGGCTTACGCGACTGTATTCGTCCTTGATACTTCGTCATATTGATTGCGTGCTACGGATGATGTATTCAGGCGTGCACTTCGCTTCACAATTGTTCAAGTCCTGTTGGTCCACTTGCTTCGTGAGACAAATACTATGGCAATTCATCATCGTATGTCAATGATGCCAAGAGACATTCGCAGAAGCCACAGGGACACACTAAGCTGGGGCATTTACTCATAAAAGCTCTAATAGCGGCAGGTTTACGCGTTGTAGTAGAGCACTGATAGAAATTGCATGCCAGGTTGTGTAATCATCGAGGTGTTAGAGACATTCTGCTCACATTGATAGTGCTTAGTATTGATCTTCACCTGTCTAAGTGGAGGAAGGAAACAGAGAACAGAAGAAGAGATAGGATTAGGTAGAAGGATGTATGCAAAAGAGACAAAGAGCACGACGTTCCCTGTCCATCACATGATCACTGCTGCTGTAGATGGACTACGGCTATTTCTTCTTCTGGCATCACAGATCCTTCGACAATAAGTCGACCAACAAACACCATACGCTGGGATTTCCAGGATTCCAAATCATGAAAGCCATCTGCATTTCAACTAAGTCACAAAGAAGGCAACATTACGATGTCGAAAAGATGTCTCTTCAAAACCCACTGAACACTAGAGCAGCTGCTATGCCCCTCATATTTGCGAATCAAGCCTCGTCACATAAACAAGCGTGGATATAAGCACTATATAGCTCATACAAAAGCCTATAGGAACCTTCGGATCTCATCAGGGGCTGTCCCACAACAATTTGGCTCCGCTATTTCGCTTCCACTTCTCTCTGGTCCACTTCCCACTGGGACTGGCTATTAGCCCGAGCCCACCAGGCAACTACAATACCTCCTTCTACTGATGTTGCTGTTATGCTGATATGGTGGAGCTTAAGTAACAGGACCAACATTGATTTGTCTCTGATACATACTCCGGTCAGGGTCGGTCAGGGTAACTGCATGCCGATGGATACGTTGTGCCTGACTGCGCCATTTCAATCATCCTATGGAGCAGAAAGGCCCCATTTTTTGTCGAAGGGTTCCGAATATTCTGCGAATGCCGAAAACCCCTACGGCGCTGGGACTGCCGGACGATAGCCATATACCAATCATTCGGGAAGCCGTCTGAGCAATTACTGCAAGTTGCTGTTTTGATTGGAGGCTGCCATTTCCGACCAACATGGAATACTTGCGGTCTGTCAAACGGATTCATTATCTGGCGTAGATTAAGAGTGGTACCTGTCACCATCCTGAAGCAAAATAATCATGCATGCCTTGCTTGGAGACGATGCTCGTTACGAGGCCGTACATACGAATTGCATCGTGAGCCAATATTGCTTTAGCCAAGGCCTAGGCCTCAGTCCAAGGCGAAAGGGGCCTATGGAGCAGACTTGCTACTCTGATGCGGAGTTGACTGAGACTACTAACTCTCGAATAGAACCAAGCTTCGAGGCACCTCTCGGAAGAAAAGAAAAAGCTGCATTCCGTTTCCCCGTTCCTCATTTCTATGGCCATAGAACTCGTCACGCCGTTCCTTAAGGGTGGCCGCTAATGCAATCCCTGGTACGCTCTGTAACGCCGGACCCTGCAACCTGGAGAAATGCGTTCCTCCTGCCATTGGATTTGCCGAGATGAGCTTGACCTGATTATCTAAAACCCCCTGATGATGCCGACTGGCGACGCCGGGTGGGGAATGGCATGCCCCGTACCAACGTAACGGGAATTGATCGGCATTTTGGAATCGCTATGCACTCTGCGGATATCAACTTCATTACTGGATATTGAGGTGTCTACTGCGGGATTCTGGGACTAGTCTCCGCCGTTCTCCCATATTCTTGACGCCAGAAAGGGGCACTGAGATTGGTGGTGTTTCAATCCTCCGTGGGCGCGCGCTCCGTATGGCGCGAAGATCCCGAACGGGCTGACTCGGCCTCGTTGACTCCTTTGGGTGACGAGTGGACCTCATCTCATCGGCACAATCGGATCGCGGCCCATGGGCCCCTGGTTTGTGCCTGCAGCGAATTGGCCCAACCTAATCCATATGCTTCCGTCATACAAGGGACGGGGATGGAAATCTCCCGTGAAGAAGCTTGAAGATCAACGACTGTAAGAATATCAGTTGCCAAAAAGGGGCCTGATATCTTCTGAGACGGGTGGCTGAAGCGCAATCAGATTTGTTGTGTGGGAATGTTATCGGTACGCTCCGCGATAGGCTCGGGCCCACGTTCAAAGCCAAGTTCGATTAAGAAATGCCGCGTCAACCCATCTATTTTAGTGCCTCCTAGCCTTGATGGGCCGTTAGAGATTGATGACTCCAGGTGCCACCCATTGTCGACCCATGCAGGCTGCATTAGACCAATCCTCCGCGTCATCAGAGCTTCTATCCTGCTGTTTCCGAAGTTTTGCCTTTCCCAGCTAGGTCTAATGCGTTCGTTGACAAGAATGACTCGCGCAATGAAGGAGGCATGCTTCCAGGGTATATAAGACCCAGCTCGTCGCCGGGTTTGCAGCTTCTTTTGTTCTTCAGCGAAAGCCAATCATTCATTCCTTCTCTCATTTCTCACTCATCTCTGTTCTGTAGATCAGAACTGCCCAGTCTTTCATTTACTCTGTTGATCAGATAACCATCCAACTCGCAACTATGCCTTCTGCCAAGCCTTTGTTCTGCCTTGCGACCCTGGCCGGTGCCGCTCTGGCTGCTCCTGCGCCTTCCCGCGTCTCCGACTTCACCAAGCGGTCCACCTGCACCTTCACTGATGCGGCCACCGCCTCCGAGAGCAAGACCTCTTGCTCCGACATCGTCCTCAAGGACATCACTGTCCCTGCTGGTGAGACCCTTAACCTGAAGGACCTCAACGACGGCACCACCGTAAGCGTCCCCTCCCAGCCCTAGCAGCAGCCCCAATCCTAACAAGCATTCCAGGTCACCTTCGAGGGAACCACCACCTGGGAGTACGAGGAGTGGGATGGACCCCTTCTCCGTATCTCCGGTAAGGACATCACCGTGACCCAGTCCTCCGACGCCGTCCTCGACGGCAACGGCGCCAAGTGGTGGGACGGTGAGGGAACCAACGGCGGCAAGACCAAGCCCAAGTTCTTCTACGCCCACGACCTCGACGACTCCAAGATCTCCGGTCTTTACATCAAGAACACCCCCGTCCAGGCCATCTCCGTCGAGTCGGACAACCTCGTGATCGAGGACGTCACCATCGACAACAGCGACGGTGACTCCGAGGGCGGTCACAACACCGACGGTTTCGACATCAGCGAGAGTACCTACATCACCATCACCGGCGCCACCGTCAAGAACCAGGACGACTGCGTCGCCATCAACTCTGGTGAGAACATCTACTTCTCCGGCGGTACCTGCTCCGGCGGTCACGGTCTCTCCATCGGCTCCGTCGGTGGCCGCGACGACAACACCGTCAAGAACGTCACTTTCATCGACTCGACTGTCTCCGACTCTGAGAACGGTGTTCGCATCAAGACCGTCTACGACGCTACTGGTACTGTCGAGGACATCACCTACTCCAACATCCAGCTCTCCGGTATCTCCGACTACGGTATCGTCATCGAGCAGGACTACGAGAACGGTGACCCCACTGGTACTCCCTCCAACGGTGTTACCATCTCCGACGTCACCCTCGAGGACATCACTGGCTCGGTTGACTCCGACGCTGTCGAGATCTACATCCTTTGCGGTGATGGCAGCTGCTCTGACTGGACCATGTCTGGCATTGACATCACCGGCGGGGAGACCAGCAGCGATTGCGAGAACGTTCCCTCTGGTGCTTCTTGCGATCAGTAAGGGGCTTGCGTGCCTTTCCCTTCTCTTGACCGAAAGAAAGACTGAAGAGCTGTGGTGCGCTCTGTACATTTCAGATAATTGCTAATCTTCTTCTTTCTCTTCTTTGCCGCCTGTCTTACACAGTCGTGTATATTAATCAAAAACCATTGGCTGTACAGTCCTGAAACAAAACCTCGAACACGATGTCCGTAGTAGTTGTAGTAGATGCTTACTTCCCTCGAAGCATTTCTAACCAAGCAGACTGACTCCAACCCTACATAAAGCAGCGCCAAAGGAAGACCATGTGTAGATAGTATAGTATTTACATTGATCAGTATTACACCTTTCCATGCCATAGCTTCAATACCATATTCTGACACAAACCTACTTCAATTACGACGTAAAATTCCATTCCCATACTACGGTGAAGCTCGCACATTATAGAGTCATTGGTATGCGACTTTTCTCTCTTTGTTTTTGTTAATTACTATCGATTTAAACCTAATCAAAGAAGAAATAGGTACATACGACCACAGGGTGTGGAAAATAGGGCTTCCCGTCCGCTCAGCCGTACTCAAGCCACACGCCGGGAGGTTAGTAGTTGGGTGGGTGACCACCAGCGAATCCCTTCTGTTGTATGTTTTCGCGATTGATTTTTTGGTGATTTGTTGGGTTTATTTAGTAGCCCTTGCTGCTTCTACATTTTGCCTCTGGAGACCTGAAGCTCGTCTAAAACTCACCTACTGCCCCGCCCGCTGACTTGTCCTTTGTCATAGCTAGCCTTCTAGGAATCCGATTTTAGAAAGACCTCAAGTGCCCATTAATATTTTGTACATGATGATGATGCTTTTAGATCCTCCCCTAATTGCGCAAAGTTGGTAAGCCCGCTCGAGGGGAGAGCGTGCCCCGAGCAGAATAGGGAGTATAAGACAGCCAATTGGGGAGGATATGGTTTTGCTGTGCTATTGTCTCACTCCGGTGGTATTGGAGGCGTAGGTGGTGCGCTACATCGAGGTAGACTGGTGTAGGCTGGCTTCCACCGTATCGTTTCGATGCAAACAATGACACGAGTCTGGCGCTCTTGTATAGCAAGAAAAGGAAAGAAGCACCGGCGCTTGGAGTTGCTTTCAAGCAGACGGCAATTGTAAGCGCCTTAGGTGACCCCCACCATGCACGCTAATCCAGATTGGGCTAGAGATAGAGTTAGTTTCCGCCACGCTAGTCTACCCTACGACACAGCCCTGACGACACCGAGAGCCGGTTGCTGTCTGCAGACTCTCGGTAACGAATCGACCAAATAGTGTGCATACAGAATGGGCATGCTGGGAAGGAGCTTTGTCGCACTTTTTTCTTGCTCAGTTTACATTGTGCGCAGACACGCACACCCGTGTCTTGGACATCATGTGAAAGAAGGGCGATTCATGGCGATCGCAAATGCAATGTTATACATGAGTCGAATCCTATGCTCTAATACTAAGCCGGAGGGATAACCGGCAGTGAATTCACAAGTTGAGCGAGGACCTGAGTATATGTCTAGGTCTGAGTCAATGGGTCGGACAGATTCGCTTCTTGTCCCGGGCAAGCCGCTCAAAGCGCTTCGGAAGCGGTCTGGTGGCTGTGTAATTAGGATCTATTCGCCTCTCTCTGATAGTTGGTATAGACCGGAATATTGCGCGAGAATCTTGCAAAGTGGGTAGAGCGTGTATCTTGCTATCTCCTTCCCTCCAAGACAACCAAAAACCCGGGCCTGTCCATACTGCGCACAAATACCCATTGCCAGCCGTTGGTGATGTAGCCAAATATCACGGCTCAGAGTAGAGCACTGCTTGGCACCCAAACAAGAGATCTACAAGGCAGATGTAGGAGGTTACCGTCCAGATATTCGGCTTGCCATCAAACTACCCTATTTGCATGTTGCGATCCCCGGGGGGTTCAGGAGTGACATGGTCAGGACCAAAGCCGGGTGCTAAGCCCCCTACACGCTCAAGAATATAGCCTTAGAACTACCTGGTCAGGGCCAGACCCTTTGGTGACGGAACTTAACTAGATTGTAGTAGGTTTGCAAAAAGTAAACTTCCGATACAGCCGTGCTCTGTATTTTCCAGCTCCGGTCTGACACTGGCATACTGAGTTGATTATGTCATGTGGGGTTCAAGATGGCAACTCCAGCCGCTCACCCCACGCAGGTTCCGCATCCTTGTTGTTATCATTTCTCCCTTCCAATTCTACTGTGCCCTGCATATCAGTTGAGAATCGGTAAATGCACTCGACGAGAACTAGGACGCGGTCTGGATGGTATCATGCCTATCGATTGAAGGTCGGTTATGGTGAGCTGACTGCATCCACAGTCTGCCCTGTCGCAGCCGTCGCAGGAAATGTGTGATGACGCCTTTGGGTTCCCAGCAACCTCGAAGGAGCAGTGCTTTGACTAATGTAATGTACTCCATCTAGGTGATGAAAGACGCCCGCAGTGTCAACGCTGTCAAGCGCGTGGCTACATCTGTCAGTGGGGCCTGAAGGCCTCTTTTCATCCCTCCCGTAGCCTCCGGTTGTCAACTCCCGAGAGGGCAGCCCTCCTAGAAATCGAGAAGGGACGGAAAGGACCCGCGACTGATCTACAGAGTGATAATCAGAAGTCGTCACTGGAGCCTTCCGCACCAATTGTAAGTTGGCCCCTCACTCTTTCGACGCCGTTGTGTAAAGAGACAGAATGCCTATGATCTATGTTCTGGTACACCGTCGCTGTTGTTAGCATCACCAAATTCCTGGAATGCCTCTAATTTAGCCCTGATAGCCTCCAGGCCAAGGCCTTGCGTGCTCTAATACTGTTGAGAGAATGATGTTGACCAGTGAGTGTTTAGATTATAGATGATACTGCAGAGGTAATCAGGTATTATCGGGAGCCTTCCGATGGCTTTTCACCGTATAGCTCTGATCCCCTACGCGATGAGTCCCCGTTGCCTAATGAGACATATCCGGGCGTCCCACGGACGGAAGATGCTCAACTCACGCTCAATATCGCCTCATATGATCCTGTCCGGGCGAACGCAAATGCCAGAAGGTCGCTTGTTAACGAAGTCACTATCGAAAGTCTGCTGTCCCCTGCGCAGTCAGGTAGTCTAAGCGATATCGGTGAGAACAGGCTGCGACAAGATGATCCAGTACAAGTGCGGCAGTTGGTAGACAGTCCTAGTTCATATGCGCTGCCGTTCTCTTTAGGACTGGCTGCGTCTCGGAATGCGTCATGGTTGCCGGAGCCCTCAATGCCAATAACAAGCGAGGAAAGTGCCCATTTGTTCTCGTTATATCTCTATGAGACTGGGACTTGGTGTGAGACCACTGATTCGGAGAGGCATTTCACACTGAGCAGTGTCCACCAGATGCTGGCTTCGAAATCGTTCCTTGCATCGGCCATTGCATTGGCATCGCGACAGCGAGATGCCGTCCAAGACCAGCAAAGATCACTGACACTCGAGCTGTATCAATATACAATTCAACTCTTACTCCGTCAGGATCCGGATGAAGCAAGCGCAGCCGTATTGGCGACTTGCACTCTTCTTTGCGTCTACGAGATGATGGCGTCATGTGTGTGGGAGTGGCGGCGTCACCTGAAGGTTTGTATCCGTTGTCTACATGCTTTATCTTATCAGCTCACATTGTGCAATTTACAATAGGGCTGTGCCAGTCTCTTGCATTCTCGAAAATGGAACGGTTCATGTAGCGGAATTGTAAAGTCCTGCTTTTGGGCCTTCGCTCGAATCGGTATGTGGCCAAGATGAACCCTCAACCAAACCCAATTTCAAAGGCACCTGTCTGATTCTGTGTCTTTCGCAATAGACGTCTGGGCTGCCTTCATTAGCTGCAAGCGGCTTCTCATTCCTACTGACTCGTGGGTCGATAATAGTTCCATTTCGTGGGTAGCAGCCAATGGCACGCTTGATGATTATTGCAACTTGGCAATTCTCGTCTTTGCACGGATCGTGAATCTCCTAGCGGACGCCCAGCTTTGCCATAGGGATAGCGATTCTGTGTACTACTCTTCCGTCAAAAACCTCTGGGACGAACTTCAAGAGTGGTGGCGCCTGCGTCCCAAAGAAGTTTGTCCCCTACTCAGGGAGACGCCGATGGGCACGAACCCTTTCCCAGCCGTGATATTTTCCCGGTCATCTTCCAGTATGCTGTTCCAACTATCTACTCTGATACTACCATTGACCAACTGTATGGATAGTTTGTGGTAATACCTTTTATCATGCTGGCTCTATTTTACTCCTTCAATCTGGCTGTCTCAGGAGAAGAGTCGAGACTTCTGACTCTATAATGGTAAGCAGACCTGGACTATTTGGCTTATGGAGATTGAGAAGAGGCCATACTTCTCCATGTATGTCCTGATAGCATCTCATAGCTAATGGCCCAATTTAAATGGCAGAATCCTGTCTGGCATGCTCGTGAACTTGGCGGGATTTCTGTTTCGAATATTTCACAGTATGTACCTCGCTGTTGCAGTTTGCGGAAAGAGCTGACCAGGTCTGCGGCATACAGTCCTAACTGGGTTAATCAATTACAACCTCTTTATATTGCTGGCACGGCGTTTTCGGAGAATCACGTCAGCTTTTTCCAAAGCACAACCGGACGTGACCAGTCCACGCGGGTTAGCTCTCGCCTAGAGGTCCCTTGGGGCTGCCCGGTTCCTCCAGTAGCCGCAGATATAAGCGAAAAGTATGCCTCTGAGAAGATCGCGCTTCTAAAGCAATTGGCAAGAATTGAGTCTGAGACAGGCTGGAAAACCTCAGACCGGGCCTCGGAGTTGCGGAACCTCTGGGGATTTCGGTAGGGATGAGAAGTCATTATGGTCGGGTACAGGTTGCTCAGCGAATGACAATTGACCAATGGCCCCAGGATTGTATTTATGTATCAGGAGGCACACTATCTGATAGCTTTTTTGATGAACGCAATCCATGTAAGCCCCAGCCAATCCAGGCAGCTCTTGAGACTGAGTAAATTGTCGATCAAGCTGTAAACTGTGATTTTCTCGGCCAGATGCAAATTCTTCGTGTTTAGCGTGCCAAAATTAAGCGCATCATCCCATTCAGCCATCTTCCACTTCGTTTGTAGGACATTCATCAACAGGAGCTATAAGCTAAACCCTAATTGGGCGGGATGCGCGCCGGCAAGGAACGAGTCCACTATATGACCAATACTGAGTTCAATGCCATAAAAGCGAGAAGAGACTAAGCATGACTCGGGATTTCTCGCATTACCAGAAGGTATTTGAGCGTGAGTATCTCAATCTTTCCCTCGTGATTGAGCAGTGCTGATTCCTCCTATCAAGAGATCGATCCATTCCACTGTAGGAGAATGTACGTGCTGGGCGAATTGTCCAGAGCATTTGTCAAAGGGCGGCGGTTGACGGTTGACCCAGTCAATTTAGTCCGAATCTGTTTTGACATAATATGGCATAGAAACCGCCCTCAGCGATACCCTCATAGTACAAATCTCCAACGTATGATTTCAATGGAAGTTTCTGTGTGCGCCATTTTTTTTCTAGGCGGAGAGAGATCGTGGGCGTGTGGGTGACTTCTCCATCCTTAGGCGTTCCTTTCATTTACCCTAAGCGTTGCTTCTGATATAGATGAATAACATGATTCATTCAAAGAACCCAGATAAGTAAGAGTCATACCCTCAGCTGAGAGGTAAGCTAAGACCAAATCCAATCAGCTTGAGAGGCAGAAATAGCTGATCGTTTCCTTGCTCGTCACCAGAAGTTGTTCTCTAGTATGCCATTGTGCTTTCAAGTAGCCATAACAAATGAAAGAGGGCTCGGCTTGGCACACGATGGAAAAGGTGAAGATACTGGCGGTTTGTTGATTTGAAATCCGGACGCAGTGGATCAAGAATTCGTTCGAGGCAAGTGCAGCCGCATGAACCAAACCATCCCTGCCAAGCCCACCATCGCTATAAGATGCCGACAGCAAGTCTAAGCGCCTGGTCCCACTCGGTAGACCCGACATGGCGATATTGCAGAGTAGCATTAGAGTGACGTACTGCTGGCGATTATCAGAGTTGATTTCAAATCACACCATCCCGCTAACTGTAAGTAAATAGCATATAGAGGCAGAGATATGACAATTTCGCGCTTTGGACGCATAAAAAGTTGCAGCTTCTGAGAAGTTGAAAGCACGTTGCAGCAGATCTCCGCCTTGACAAGAATAGCACCCAAGGAGATTGGAAATGGCTCCGCCTACCGCTACAGCTCTCGTGACCAGGGCTGGCAAGCTGTCCAGAGAAACCATTCCTGTGCCGACTCCGGGCGAGCACCAGGTACTGGTGAAGATTTCACATGTAGCTCAGAATCCAACAGATAGTAAGCATTACCTCCCCTCCTATCCAATTCCGTACCGTTAAATAATAGAGTGCTAAGTCACCATCTAGTTCAATCCCTCGATGCTGATGCCTTTGGCGACGATGCGGTGCTTGGTTGTGATTTTGTTGGTACTGTCGAGCGGACGGGCGACAAAGTGAGCAGGGTCAAGGCTGGCACCGTGATTGCCTGTCTAATCTGGGGAGGTCAGTCACCATCTTAACCCAGACTTACTCCATTCAGGATATAAACCTTTGTTCGAGCAGGTGAGATTAAGAAGCTGGGTGGCTACGGCGAGTACACCCTCGCAGATGAGCGTATTTGCTTCCCGTTGCCCGAAGGCGTCACGCCCGAGCAGGCCGCAACAGTACCCCTCGCCGCGTGCACAGCGTTACTCGCTCTATTCTCCAAGGATTGTCTCAACATCCCTCAGAATTCTGGAGAGACCGTCCTTATTTGGGGCGGAACCTGTGAGTTGAAATGACGCAGTGAAGCGTATGTGTAGCGTGGAAGACTCATATATTACAGCAAGCGTCGGGCTTTATGCTATCCAGATTGCCAAGTACTACGGCCTCAACGTTATTACGACCTGCAGTACCCGCCATCACGATTTCGTCAGGTCCCTTGGTGCCACTGTCGCTCTCGACTACCGCGACGCAAGGGTGGTGGAGAACATTAAGGCTGCTGCGAACTGCAGTCTGAGGTACGTCTTCGACACTATCGGCAACGACTCATCTTCCGTTACTTCATCGCAGGCAATCTCTGAGCAAGGCGGTATCCTGTGCACTGTTCGTCCGGGCAAGGCTTTCACCGAGAATGTGACCAAGCAGACTAAGGTGACGGATGTTCTGGTCTGGACGGCGTTCCTAAAGGAGCACAAATACAAGGAATTCTACTGGCCGGTGAGTTCATCTTCGAGGGTCGACATTTATCGTCGTTTATTGATTATATTTTGCAGCCACACAAGGAAGATCACGAGCTGTCGGCAAAATTTTTCGATGCACTGCCGAAGTTGCTCTCTGCGGGAATCATCAAGCCAAATACCCCAAAGCTTTTCGAGGGGCTCGAGTCCGTGACAAAGGGATTTCAGGAGTACCGTGACGGGGTTATCTCCAACTATAAGATAGTGTACAAGATTTAAGGACTTGAGACGAACAGGCATGAGGGACTGTCGCGGTTCCTCGATATTGTCAGTGTGCCTTGAATATATCGTACTATATATGCTGTATGGCCCGCGTTGTATTGATATTGCCAACTCGAATTCAGCTTTCGCTAGTACATTCTCATAGTGCTTGGTCTGTTTTGAATACGCTCACGTCGTGTTGAAAATCCAAATATGTTGCCGGTCCATCAACTTCACTTAGCGGGTACGCATACGATGTACCATATATGTCTTGATGGGGGTGACCTACATACTTCATGCATGTAGTTGCGGAATGGTTCTTGTCTGTACTAGTATTGCCAGTAAATATTGATGCTTACTAAATAACATCAGTTCTATCTGCTACTATTAAAGCCTAGGGCTGACAAGTATGACTGGTAATATCATGAGTATAAACCACTCGAGTTAACTTGAAGTTTGTTATGGCCATGGTTATCCAGATAAATTATCTGGCCAGGCAAAGGGGATTGGGTTTGTCGTCGGGGTCTATTATGTACGGTTGAGAAGTTGTACAATCCGAAGAGGGTGCTAGATTGACGATTTTATACTCCGTGCCGGTGAATAAAAGGCTCCATTGTGGCGTGCGCGTCTTTTTTTTTTATGGCTCATGGAATGAAAACCTGACATCGTTTGGCGTTTTTGAAAATACGGCGCTGTGTCCGGACAATGCAGTAACGGTACATATATACCGCTAGAATATGAGATTATATGAGAGTCTGGTCTCTATCTACTAATACTAGCGACCAGATCAAGACAAACTTACCCGGAAGTACGTAACACCCAACTTGATCATAGAGAAACATTTCATCCAATATTCTCATTCTCATGATATCGTAATCGAAGCACTCAAGTTATAATCTTGTCTATATAGATAGATAGAGAGATCTGTTTTCTATTACATTCCAGTTCTCTTTCCTTAGGCAACCAGATCATGATAGAGGACACGAGAGGGAGTGAACCTACTTCAGCCTGTAGGATTGTGGGGAGGGGTATGAGAGTCGGGTTCATCTAGTATTGTGGATTAGATCGATTACACTGAAGATGGCTTGGTCGCTAGTGCGTTGCGTCGGTGGCTTGATGTCTCATGTATGTATGTAGGAGAACCATAAGGCATATTGTTTTGGGATTCTTTTGTCAGGGTTGGTGTCAGGGTGAGAGATTGCGGCTTTTAAAGAGATCTGTGGAATGAAATGGCGGATCTTATCATATGTCCCTCAGTTCAACATGGGTATACTGTCTACAGAATATTACATAGATATAGATCCATCGTAAGCCGTTAAATTAGCCTATACATACTAACAAAGAAAAAGCAATTGACGCAAACCCGGTCAGTAGACACATAGATAAGAGTAGAGGAAGAAAGAAACAGACACCAAAAGGTTATATCTACTATATGAAAGTTTCAACTGTACGGAGAAGGGAAAGATAAGCCAAGTCCTGTCGTGATGAATGTACCTGGGACGACAGATACAGGATTATAAACAACTCCAAGCAGATCGGAAGCAAAAAGAAAAAAAAATTGTTCAGGAAACTATAGACAAATCAAGCGCGACCCGCTTAAAACTGGTCAATGCAACCCCAGTACTGCTCAACGTCGTACTCGCCGGGGTCCTTCCACAGGTCGTTGGCGTAGGAGAAGAAGACCGACAGCTCACCAACGGACTCGCGGATGCCCTTGATGGCGGTAGCCTGCTCGGTGGCACCGGGGACGGCAGCACCGTTGGCGTTACCCTTGCTCGGCCAACCAGTCTCGAGGTTGATGACATCCATGTTGGTACAGATCTTCTTCAGAAGAGCGACCTCGGAGGCGGCGAAGGTACCGGCCTCAGCGGCAGTGGTCTCCGAGTTGAAGAAGGGGTGGATGTTGGCACCCAGGACGTCGACGACAGAGCAGAGGGTGCTGCTGCCGTACTCCTGCCAGATGTCAATGGGCTCAGTGGTGGTGACCTGGCCAGTGTAGCCGGCAGCCTCGAAGCTAGACTTGCAGGAGGAGATGAAGGTGGCGAGCTCGCTGGCGGTGGCGTAGCCGTCGGAGATGGCCTCGTTACCGACAACGATGAGGGTAACCATCGACCACTGACCCCACTCGGTGATGGCAGTAACCTGGTCCTGAGCACCCGAGGTGCCGGTGCTGGAGATGTAGACACCGAGGATCAGCTTGAGGCCGTACTTGCTGGCAGCGGCACCAACGTATTCGAGGGTGCTGCAGTCGGTGGAGTAGAGACGGATGTGGGTGAAGCCCTTGTTGGCGATGGTCTCAATGTCCGACTCAACGGTGGCCTTGGACTTGCAACCACCGGAGTTGCTGTAGGGAGTGTAGGTCATTCCCATGCTGTTGCCGCTGGCGCTGACGCCAGAGCTGGCGGCGGCGCTGGAGCTGGCCACAGTGCTGGACTGGACGGAGGAAGTGACAGCGGCAGCAGTGGTGGTGGCAGGAGCGGGGGTAGTCACAACAACAGCGCTAGTGGTAGCGGCAGCCGGGGTGCTGGTGGGCTCGTTGGCGTTGGCGAAGGGGCAAGTGTAGGTGTAGTCGGTAACAGTGGCGGTGACAGTGATAGCACTGTGGGTGTAGGTGCCGGGGGTGACCGTGGAGACGGTGGGGTAGGTCACGACGGTGTTAGAGGGAACGTAGGTGGTGGTGGGAGCAATGGTGTAGGTACCAGCCTCGGGGCAGACGTAGGTGGTGGTCTGGATGATGCTGGTGACGGTGGAGCCAGAGGGAGAAACGGTGGCGTAGGGGCAGGTGACGGTGGTCGAGGTCTCGACGATGGTGGTGACACCACCGTAGGTCTGAGTACCGCTAGCCAGAGAGGTGGTGGTGCCCGCGACGACGGAGGTGGTGTCGGAGACGGTCACGGTAGCAGCGGGGATAGTGTAGACACCAGTCGAGGAGAAGGTGGTGGTCTCCGGGGTGGGAACAGCCTGGCTGGAGGTGGTAACAGCAGCGACAGGGGTGGAGGAGGAGGAGACCTGGCCGACATTGCCGCCAGTAGCACCGGTGGCAGCGACACCCTCGGGGGTGGAGGAAGTGCCCGAAGCAGCACCGGCAGCACCACCAGTGGCACCACCAGCAGCAGGGGTGGACTCGCTGGGGGAGGCGTTGCCAGCAGCACCGCCAGTAGCACCAGCACCCTCGGCAGTGGTAGCAGCCTCAGCAGGGGCAGTAGACTCGCCGGGGGTAGCGACAACGGTGACGGTGGTGTAGCTGGTGGAGTGGAGGGTGGTGACGACGTCGGAGGTCACGGTGGTAGGGACCGCAGCGGGCACGACTATATGTTGGTCAGTTTTATCGTCCACATCATCATCGTCGAGTACTAGGTACTAATATCAATTGGAATGCGGGGGGAATCAGGAATTTACTCACGGGTAGGGGTTCCCCAGACGGTGATGACCTCGGTGGTGCAGCCGCAAGACTCCTCGGGCTCAGCCTGAACGGCACGACGCTGGTGGAAAGAGTCGTGGCCGTGACGACGCATGTGAGCGCCGCCATCAGCCAGAGCGGTACCGGCGAGGGCAGCCGCAGTGGCAAGGAAAGCACCCTTCATATTGACGGTAAGGGTGAGATCAAGGAGGGGGGTTCGGGAACAAATTCAATCGCAATGAATGCCCGCTGAAAGAGTGAAGCGGTGGTCAAGTTTGCAGAGTGAGAAGAGAACGCGGGAGGGAGGGAGAGGGAGGGAGAAAAGGGCACGCCGGCCTCTTTTTGATATCTTTCTTTGGGAGGAGAAAGAAGAACAAACGATCTGCAAAACAAACCCGAGAGGGAAAAAGAAAGAGGGGAGGGGGGAGAAAAGGAAAAGAAAAAGGAAAGGGAAAAAGCAGACCAAGAAGAAGCCGAAGCAGCAGCAGCAGCAGCAGAAGGGGAAAAGAGGCAAGTCTGGCCCAGCAGGGAAAAAGCCCCCAAGCAAATAAAAGGGGGCGGGAGTGGATTGGGGATGCCAGGCACCCACTGGCCGCTATTGGACTGGATGTCCGCACGGCTCGGATAGCCTGGTGGAGTCGCACGTCGTCCATTCCCTTCTTGGGGGTTTCAGAATATCCTTTTGTTCCAAGAGATGTGGTTGTGCCTAAATGCGGTGACGGTGACCGTTAGCTGCAATCCTGACATTCAGGGTCTGGCTACTGTTCGGATCCATGGAGGGGGACCATCGATGAGACTGGACGAGGACACAAACGACCTGTCTAGTCTACTTGTTGCTGTACCCAGAAACTGACCCCCGGGCATGGATGATTTGGATTAAGATTTTCCGGTGATGGAAGGAAAACTCTATTGCAATACTCCTACGTAGGCACCACTCCTGATCACATCCGTTGCTTCTCCTGATGACAGGTAATCTATCATTCAGGACTTGGATATTGCTGTGTATATAAAGTAAAGAAATCAAATACCACACAAACAATATTCAGAGCAGTCACAGCCATCTAGCAGAGTGGCAACCACCCAACACACACAAGGGAAATGAGAGTGTGGGCAACAGAGAAAAGAGAGAGCGAGAGAGAGGCTGCTTTGTGCAGCTGCAAGGAACACTGGAAAGTCTGGGGTCCACCCAGCCTGCAGGAGGTGTTGTGGCTTTGCCCGATCAGGTACAGTGGCTGCCTCCACTGTCTGACTTTGCGGGATGTCATTGGCTGATACAATCACCTTAATTTCCGGAGACCCACTGCAGCCCGGATTAGCGACAGAAGGGCAACACAGCCAGAAATGACCATAATTCGGGCGCAATAATGGATGGCCCAGAAACCGTCCCATGGTTGGACTCAGCCTCTGCACGGTTAATAGGAGAGCGTTATTTCAGGTACGGGGTCTGAAAGGCTGGATGGAACAAGCAGACAAGAGGCAAAAGCAGTGCAGCCCAGCAGGAAACACCAAAGAGGCGAGTTCATAAGAATAGAAACAGCCCCGGTTAATTTTTCGGTCTGACAGCCACCGTTCGGCTACGATCCGGCTTTGCCCCCTGGGAAATTACTGTGTCTGCTTACTGAGATCCTGCTATCCATAGTAATATGATCAGAATAGTTCTCCAACAACAGTGACTGAGTTTATCACCCAGGCGCAAGGTTCAAATCTCTCCGCATCATCTCTTAGTCAATAATTGATCAATAAATCCATGGATTCACTTAGCTAACTATCAATCTTCGACTCGCTGATCCATCTGGATTTACCTTCACTTTCACTTTCACCGTCCTAGCAACCGCACGCCGATCAGATCAATCAATTCATTTCTTTCAGAGTGTTCACAGTGATTCTTCCTCTGTGGGGATGTCTCTCGATGGCTTCCAGCAATGCCGAGAACCAAGACGAGGCCTGGCCTTTTTCACTGTCTTGGCTTGACCACACAGTATCTGACTACTTACTCCGTACGGTCTGCTCATTTCCACACGAGTCAGGGTCTGTCAGTGGCAGCCAACGTAACCGCCCCTCGTGCTCACGCCTCAGACCCCTGACCACTCGATCTATCACTTTACCCTTACCCCAGATCCAGGATCCCTCGACTACATAAGTACGATGCGAACGTCCAAAACTATTGACTATGGAAACAAGAAAAATTCCTATAGAAGAACCTCACCGAACTATCCGTTAGCGACCACAAATCATTCCCACACAGAAATTGATCATCGCCCGCCCGGTCTCGACCGGTCAGTGCAGAGTCTCCTCCACTGCGGACCGATTTGCCCCTGACCAGGCTTGGCTTGAGCCTATCTGGGAGCGAGTCGTTGAGCGCGCTGATTATGGAAGGCCGAAAGGCGGAGCTGAAAATATGGGAAAATGGTCGAGGTGTGTTGTTGTCTTGGATGAATTTGGCTAATTTTCAATAGTCGCGTTGGGGTGTGAGACATGATGGTGTATCTATTGACCCCTGAATTTGGGGGTTCGACCTTGAGGGTAGGTATAATAAGTAGGCTTGGGGGCGATGACTCGTATTGTAGTGCTGACGGGTTTCTGGAAGATTCGGATATTACCGATGCTCGCTTAGTTAAGTTACTGGGTAGAGTCCTGGGGTTGAGTTGCTGGGTTGTGCTGCTACGTGTCTGCCAGACCGACACTGGGGATGGATGGATGTGTTGTGAGAGTTGAGTTGGGCTGACCGATCCGAGGAATGTGTCAGTTTGACACCCACACACTTACACCACATAATCTCACATTCTTATCCAGAGTTAAAGAATGACACGACATGACTTGACAGGACGTGTATAATTCTCAATTAACGTTAATGATATCCCCTACATGAGTACCTCGTACTCTGTACTCTGGAACTCATGGTTCAAAAACCACAAGGCTGAAGCCGACCGACCGGTCGCCGCAGTACATACCCCATCACCACATCACCACACTTCCCCCTCAAGAATAAAATCCAACCAACACAATACAATAAGCAGAGCAATCCAAAGCCTTTATATACCTCTCTACCCTATGTATTCCATCGATACTTTACATAATATTTACCCGCCAACAATCCCAAGATCTTATCTCCCAACACCTACTACGTAGTCCAAGCAAATAGATCGTACCACCCAGCTGCGCCAACATCTCACCACCACCACCCAGATCATGTTACCTTCCACTAAACCACTAAAGTCACGAACTATACACCGGGATCATGCCACCACCCCAACCACAACCACAACCACCACGCCGAATTCATCCTTCGAAGTGAAAAATTCTACAAATCCAGCATATCTCATTGGTCATCCACATCAACTATATTCCCTCGCTCGGATCATCCGAGTCCCATGCACACACACGTGATGCCTCTACCCCGGATACACTCACCCCGACGATGGATGGAAAAGAGGGTGAGGTGATTCGGATGAAGAGATGCCAGAAACTTGAGACTGAGTATGGTGCGATGATTGTTCTTTGTTGGAACGGGAATTGGGATTCCGATTGATGCCGTATACTATTGATTTACTAGTATTGTTGTTGGATGTGCTGGTAGGTGTGTAGTATATATAGTAAGTAGATAGATGCAGATTATGATGGTACTATTCTGAATCACCTCAAACAATACTATTCGCATCGTTAATAAAGATATCAAGAAACCAGAATAATCATTACTACTACTCTCTATAAGGATATATATATACTTTACATCTCACACATCATGAAATCTACTACGACTTCCTCCGCCCGTCTCCAGAACGACTTTGGAGCTGATCTGTGGGTGAAGAATCCTCCTAAGCATGTGAGTCTATACTTTTCTCCCTCTTTTTCATACAATGCTAATAAAAAATGAAGCATCCCACAGCAGGCCGTGGCCTCTTCGCCGGCCTTCAAGACACTAAGAACTATAATGTCGAGTCAGGCTGGGCGAAGCGCAGCAATGTGGAGAGTCAGGGGTTTTTGGGGAGTTTGTTGAGTCGGTAAGTCTCCTGATTTTATTTCTGTGGTTGTTGTTATGGTTGTTAACGAAAGGTTGTGGTTAGGTTCATTGGGGGATCGTATAAGCCTCCTACTGATTAGATGCATTGACTGACGGTTATGGGGAGTGTTTGACGGATTTATGATGTATCTATGGTTTTTGTTTGGTGTTTGGGATTCGTTATAGCATTAGATTATAGTCATCGTGAAACAGTGTTCTTTTGAAGAGTGTTCGCAGTGTAGTATATGTATCTGTACTAGTACTAATATGTATTTGAGGAAGTAGTCTAACTTGCTTAGACTTGATATTACTGTCTACAATATTACTGAGAATTTGGATGTAAGTTACTGATAGCACATACCACTAAGTCAATGTCAATAATACTCACTATCAACTGAATACTAACAAAATCTTACTATCAACAACAACCCTCTCCCTCATACCCATGCCATCATCCCAACTACTAACTCTCTCCCTCCCTCCCTCTCTCTCTCTCACCCCCTATACATATATCATGTATAGAACTACTTAAGTAAAGCCCCCCCATCACTCCCCACCCACAATCCCGTAACAAACCCATCCTTCATACACCACAAATACGCCTCCGCCACATCCTCCGGGGCTCCAACCCTCCCCAAGACCGTCCCCTTCCTAAACATCTCCATATACATCTCCTTCTGCTCCCCAAGAGCATCAAAAATCTCCGTCTCCACCGCCCCCGGCGCCACAACATTCGCCCTAATGGGCGCCAACTCCACCGCCAGTCCCCTGACCAGCCCTCCCAGCGCACTCCCCGCCATCGCACTCAACGTCGTCCCCACCACCGGCTTACTCGCCAACACGCCGGACGTGAACGTCAACGACGAGGTATGCGAATCCACCATGTAGGTCTTGGCATGTTTGCCCAGCATGAGGGGGGCCAGGACGCGGAGGGTTTGGCTGGATGTATAGGTTTGGGGCGTGAGGGAGGAGGTAGGGGTGATGGGGGTGCGGGAGGGGCGTGTGCCGGAGGTGTAGGATATGTGGTTTAGAAGGATTTTCCCTTCGGTATTGGTGGTGGTGTTGGGGAAGATGGATGGAGAGGTAGCGTAGTCGAGTAAGGAGATGATATTTGTCTCTAGGGTGGATTCATCGCTTAGATCATATGCCTTGCCGGTGATGCGGGAGGTGAAGGATGGGTCTGGGTAGAGGGTCTTCAGACGGGATATAGCGGAGGCGAGTCTCTCCGGGTTGGAGCTGGAGAGGATGATGTTGGCGCCGTGTTCGAGGGCGGCGCGGGCGACGACGAAGCCGATGCCTGAGGTTCCGCCGATGAGGAGGACGCGGGTGTTGGTGAGTTTGTTGATGGAGATGAAGTTGTTGGTGGTTGATTGAGACATTTTTTTGGTGGTTGTTCAGGTTGGATTGTTTTTCGAGGGGATCTTTCTTTGGTTTGTGGTGGTAACTGTGCAGGGGTGCATTCCTGGTTAGTACTATATATAACTGAGCAATATGAATGAAATAGTACTACTCGTATATTCGTCTATGAAGGTTATGTCCGCTAAGTCCGACATGGGAGTTAAGTAACTGGGGATAAGATTTAGGTTCCGGCGGAGATAACTATCGGAGATATTGATGTATTATTAATGTGTATGGATGGCGTGCTATTCTTCTTATGTAGATTGGATAACCTGACAGGGCCACATGGTTATGTTGAGACTGAGTGATAACAAGGTATGGCTGTTGCAATAATGTGATGAAACGTATCACGTTGGTAGTTACTCAATCTAGCTCAGTCTCTTCAAATCACAGAATTGATCATTACAAATCCACTATACGACAGCTACAGTCCAGAGGTGAAGGGTTCACTATACTCTACTGGTAATAGCCCCCCAGTGAAAGCGGACCTCCGCACAGGTTAGGTAATGTCCGGTCAGGTGGGAAGCATATCCATCAAATACGAAGGAGGGATTTGGAGTGGGGCATAGAAGCAGTCGGTATATCTCATGTACGCGGTTCCAAGTAGAAAGTGATTGGCTCAACATAATGAGTTTGTATTGCTGTTATAACCTCGCTTCCTGGAAAGTTGATAGTCAGTTGTAGCATGGTAGATTGTAATAAGGCCATACTTTGACAATAATTGGAGCTGTATGGATTGAAGAGATATGTCGATGCTGTCCTGGCAATGTCTACAAGTTGTTTGAGGGTTGGGACTGGCGTCGGATGTGTTTGATTTCTCTACATTCAAGGTAGACCTGGTCATAGAACTGCATAAATAAGGATAAACATAAGTCTGGAAAGTAAGGTATATGATATTGCTTTCGTAGTGAAGTCGAATTTAACAACTAAAGAGCATTCAATTAGTATTCCGCAAATAATTGAATAACGATCTCTACGGAGCAACCATTTGAATGAAAATTGTCACTTATTATCAGTTAACTATTTTGCAACCAACTGTACACTCTACTCCAAGCCAGCAGAAATAGATACCTAGTAGTATGGCAAACAAATACGCCTCTGTACATAACTCATATCTCTACTCTTCCTTTCTCTTTATCTTTACTCCCAGCTGGTAATCTTCATCGTGCCCTTCTCCTGCAAGTTCTGGTGCATCTTGAACGCCTGGAACAGCAGGTGAGGCTCATGGCCCATGCCCTTCTTCAGGCACTCAAACTCAGCCCGGTCCATGTAGTCCTGCAGGATGGGCTTGTAGTCGGGGTGAGAGCACTTGTCGATGATCACCCGGGCACGCTCACGAGGAGCAAGACCACGCACGTCGGCCAGACCCTATGCTTGGTTAGCAAAAGAATTAAAGTAGTTGGGGAGGTCATCCTTACCTGCTCAGTCACAACCACGTCGAGATCGTGCTCGGTCTGGTCAACGTGGGTACACATGGGAACAATGCAGCTGACACCGGTCGGGTCGACCTTGCTGGGCCGGGTACTGGGGGTGTGCATGATACTGTACTTGGAGCTGCGCAGGAAGTCGGCAGATCCACCCAGTCCGTTAAGCATGCGAGAGCCCATGACACAGGTGCTGTTGGCGTGGGCATAGATATCCACCTCCACCGGAGTGTTCATACCGATGCAGCCCAAACGACGGATGATTTCGGGCGAGTTGGAGACCTGCTGCGGGCGCAGGAGGAGCTTACCGGCGTAACGCTCCCAGTTGTCGTAGAAGCGCTTGAAGCCATCCGGAGAGAAGCGGATGGAGGTGGCCGTGGCAAAGTCCAGGTTGCCACTGTCGAACAGGTCCAGGAACGAGTCCTGGAGCACCTCCGTCCACACCTTGAGGTTGGTGAAGTCGGCACCACCCTTGCTCAGACCACCAATGACCGCGTTGGCAATGTTTCCAATGCCGGACTGGATGGGCAGCAGGTTCTCAGGCAGGCGGCCGTGCTTGACCTCGTGCTTCAGGAACTCAATCAGGTTGCTGGCAATGGCCTGGGAGCCCTCATCCTCGGGGGCGTTGGGCTGCGTCTGATCGGGATAGTCGGACTCCACAATGGCCACGACCTTCTCAGGGTCAACCGGGATGTGGGGAGTACCGATACGGTCCTCGGGCTGCATGATCAGGTAGGGCTTGCGGAGGGGCGGCTTGTCCGACATGACAATATCATGCAGACCCTCAAATGACGGGCTAGCAGTGTTGACTTCAATGATGATCTTATCGGCCATCTGGATCAGCTCCGGAGATGCACCGACGGAAGCACCGGGGATGATGCCACCATCCTCCGTGATGGCAGATGCCTCAATAACCGCGACATCCAAGCGGTTCTTGGGCTTGTTCATTGTGTACCAACCCTACCCAACACCGTTAGTCACCATCCACAGAAACACATTTGATGGAAACTTACGTAGACCAGATCCGACGGGAACATGCTCAGATGCTTGTCGAAGAAGTTGATCTGACCATTGTTGATACCCTTGGCAATCTCCTTGCCGACCTGGTGAGGGCTCCGGCGATCAATCATGTTCAATTTAGCCCAGCGGTTCTCTGTTTCCGCGCCGGAAGAAGCGCCGACAAACAGGGTGTATTTTAGCTGTCCCTCCAACTTGTTTTTCTCAACGTGGTCGGCCAGCGCCGTGGGAACTTTCCTGTGAACCGGGAACAAACTAGATTAGCCTCTGGCTGCCACGCGGGGACAACGGGCGCAACCTACTTGGGATAACCCACCCCCGTGAATCCGGACCAGCCGATATACGATCCATTGGGGAAAAGGTCGATGAGATCTTCAGCCTTGGCCAACCGGTTGAGGTAGGAAGGCCGGCGGACACGGCTTCTTAAGAGGGCTGAAGCAGCCATTGTGAGGGAGGTAGAGGGATGAGAAGAGGAAGGAAGGACAGGCTGATCAGGAGAGGGAGGAAGAAGAGTGGAGAGGGGAAAAGAAGAGAAGAATGAAGAGTAGAGGAAGAGGAAGAGGAAGAGGAAGAGGAAGATTAAGAGGGAGAAAAAAGAACTGGGGGAAGAAAGCAGACGAGGGTCGTCGTGAGGTAGAAATACGGTACGGAACCCCCGCCACGTTCCACTTACCCCGGTCCAGACGAGGCGAGCAGCAGCGCGTCTTCGGGGATAAGGAGCGACTGCAATATGGATCCCGCATAGACTATGGGGGATCGCTGGGGATAGCCGGATGCTGAGTGGCTGTCGATCGACCAGCGCTGCAGGAAGGGCATGCAGGAGGGTGTATATTACTCCGATGCTGAGGTCGGAGCAGTCTAGACAGCCTGCATCCAGCTGGGTGTATTTAAGGTCTTGCCAGCTGCTGGACCACTTCCCTCTGGGGAAGGGAGGGTCAATGGTGCTGGAACTGAGTCGCAAACTCTTCTACAGTACGATGAATGGGTCTGACAGTGTCCTGTCTCAGTTGCTGGTGGGTTTCATCTTGATTTTTTTTTTTCCATCTGGTGTCTGCATCTTCAAGGGATTCCCTTTTCATTCATGCTGACGTCACGCCGGCAAACACTCGGCCAAACATAGTTCTGCTTCGTCCAGCGTTGCCTCTCCCACGTCACTTTGAACTCAACCGTTTCTTGTTCTCCCTGGAGAAAGATGACTCTACTGACAGGGACGATTGAATTGACATCAATTATATACCCTTCCCCCCCTATATCATTGCGATAAATGCGCTTCAATTGAGAAGAAGCAGGCAATACCGAGCTTCGTCCAGGAATGCGCCGACGGACTAGTCTCGGCCCGTATCGGTTATCTGCTGTTCGGCCACACGGAAGCTAAGCTGAACGGATCTGGAACTGGACTGAAGTGGACTGAAGGGGGCTGAGCTCCTCCTCTTCTGCTTCCAGCGAGCACCCGTCCATTACTAACTAAATACTAAACCAAGGCAATTGATCTAGACTCCACTTCAATCCAAATCGAAACATTCAATATCGGTTGATCAACAACTCCCATAGTCCTAGTTACACATACACAGTGAAGAAGAATTTGAAATCGCAGCAAATAATAGGAGGAATAAAAAAAGAAGAAAAGAAAAGAGAAGAAAACATCCCAAGATGACCCCGTCCCAGAATCACAATCCCCCGACCCCACGCCAGACAAGTTTCCCCCTGCCGGTCGCGAGGCGCGCGCCAGTCCACCAGACCGATCGCATCCCCTCGCCATCCACCAGGAGGATTCATTTTTTCCAACAAGCAGAAATTCCCATTCGTGCAACCGTAGATACACTATGTACCGTTTAAGTAGAGAGGAGGTCCCCTGTATTCGTCATACGCATCGTGCAGTGTGAAGGCGCGCGGGCGCAAACGACCCCGGAGACGCTAGCGGACTTGCCCGCACGCTGCAGACATGCGCTGTTCTATTCGAAAGCACTGTTCATTGCTCTTTCGACTCCACCGCAGACTGCTCGACATCAGGCATCTCGGTATCTTCCTTGTCGTTCTTCGACTCGGTTTCGGTGCCTTCCGCCGGAGCAGCAGCAGTAGCAGCAGCGGCAGCCTCCCCTTCCGAGCCCTTGATCCAAGACCGGAATCGCTGGTTCGACTCGTCCACTTGATCCTTGCTCAGACCATGCGCCCAGTGCGGGTTATTGACAAACTTCTCCGTAAACCGGTCCCGGCGTCGCTCCTTCACCGCCGCCTCCTCCTTGGCTACCTCCTCCGCCGTTTCCTCCGTCGGCGCCGTCGGCCGCCACCACCAGTCGTAGCTGCCAGGCTCGTACAGAATGTGATAACTGTTGGCGCAGATGCGGATGATCAGCCCGTCCTGGTGCACCAGCGGTCGGTAGTAGCGGTTGTACTCTTCCTCCTGCTCCAGCTTGGCCGGCAGGTTGCGCTTCAGGAACGGCATACGCATCTGAGAGAACGGCACCCCCTCGGTCGGATCCCGCATCGTGTACGCAGAGACATAGTATGACCAGCGCGCCTCTTGGCTCAGCTCCTCATTCTCCAGTGTGGCATCCTCGGGCGTCAACAGCTGCAGCGTCGTCTTCTTGGTGGTAGGGTTCTAAGGCAACTCGTGTTAGATGGCAGGTTAAACAGCTTAAGATAGAAGCACTTACGTAGGTAATGCGATAAATGTCCCCATCCTTAACCAGCCGTTCCACTTGCTTGCGGTACTGGATTTCCTGGTTGTGCGTGGTCTCCTCCCTGTCCCGCTCCTTGAAGAAAAGATTCATAATATCCGAGCTGCGGTCTTTCGAGTCCCCGTTGAAGATCGCCCCCGCAAATTTGGAGATTCCAGCAAACATCTTCTCCAGGTTGTATAGTTGATACCCGCTCCGCAAGTAATACCGACGAAGGGTCTCTTCTAAGTGGGAAGGCTCCATATCCCCCTTGATGACCTCTTCGCACATGCGCACGATCTGCTGGTACAGGTTCGCCTTGGGATCACAGTCGTAGAAAAACTCCGTAGGGTACTTGTCAATGAGGTTGAGCTCCTGCGCCGGTTTGCTCACCAGCGCGCGACGGACATCGTCATGGGCATCCTTTTCATGCAGCTTGATGCGCAGCAGCCGCGAGTAAAGGACCTCGAATGTGCGGAAGAAGCAGTAGATGTTCAGGTTGGCGTACAAGTGATGAGCCTTCTTCTCATACGTCTCGTTCAGGTTGTACTCCCGCTGTTGGTTGAAATTGCCCTGCCCGGGGTGCTCCATCCACTTCAGCTCGGCCACATCGAACGGCTCGGTCGGATCAGGCACCGGAGTCGACGGGACCAGAACAGCATCAGGCGTGCCATCGCGGCTGGCTGGCGTACTGCCTTCCTTGTCACCACGACGTACCTTCTCGCTACGACGCTCGAGGACATCGCGGAGAAGGTCAATCTTCTTGCCATTGATGCCCTTCCGACTGCGCGGCGTTGAAGACTCCTCTGCGGCCAGACTCTCATCGTCACCTTCATCGATCGGGGATGCGCCACTCGAAAGTTCATTCATATACACGTGGAAAGTATCACGGTCCATGCCGAAGAACACGGGAACGAAGTCCTTGATGAAAGTCATGACCTTCTGTGGGTCGGCGCCAAACCCAGCAGAGTTACGGTCAATGAAAGTAAGTAGCAGGTGCGTGGCATCAATGATGACAGCAGGATCATCAAAGGCGAACTCGAACTGATGCTTGGCGGTCTGATACCCACTCTTGCGCAGATTCCGACTCTCCTCGAATTTGTTCTGGATTTCTGTATGGATATGCTTCGCCACGAACAACTTCTTGTCCACTTGTTTGCTGGCAATCGCCTGGTGGTCCAGACTCCGCCAGTATGCCTTCTGCATCTGCTCGCGCCAAATTTTATCCCATTCACGCTATTGCAAGGTTAGCTAATGCACCAACATAAGAGGAGTTTTCCTTGTGCCTTACCTGACTAGCTTTCCACTCCTCACACTTCTGCTTGAGACGGAAAAGAACAATGGGCAAAACATGGGTTGGTCGCTCGAACATCTCCTTGATGATCTTCTCCCCGCGTTGTCTGTCGTAGATCTTTTTGATCACCCGCTGGTAGATTGCCTCACTCTGTCCACCAAGGCCAGGTGGAAGCTTGAACGCGGCGCACTCGGCTTCCGACATAACGAGGAACTGCTGCACAATCGGCTCGATAAGCTGAATCGTGCGCGTGCACGCCTCGATATGGTGGTCATAGTCATGCCTATCCTCTTCGATGCGATGCAGGGCATCTTCGAACTGGTTTTTACGGTGGGCAACGAATCCAGAGTCTTCCGACGCCCATGTGGGATGGGAAGCCCATTCATCATTAAGCACACTATAGCACAGCTGATCACGGCCACTACAAGGCTTCTGGCGCTCACGTTTCGGTAACAGACGATAGCTAGGCCCGAGAGACCGGCAATGAGACAGATTAACAAGTCCAGAGTCTTGTTTCGCTTTGACATCAATGATCTTGTCTTCTGGCTCGTCGACATGCATGAAGCGCTTGAACCAAGCCATCAGTTCCGGGTTCGAGCCAATGTAACTAGCTGCCCGTTTCACGAGCACATGCCTATCGATGAGATCTGTGGAATACAGATTGCAGAGCTTCAAGAACTCGCTGAATGTCTGCTTGTTGCCAATATACTTCTTGACGCGGTCAAAGAAAGCAAATTCCTCCTGAGTTGGGGTCAGGGAGAAAGTCGGCTGGATCGGTTCTGGTAAAGCGGGAACGAGGGTGGGAGAGACAGCGGGTACTTCTGCCTGGGAAGGCTTCGTATGATGGACTTTAGCCCTTTTGTTGGCATTACCAGCTTGAAGAGCTGAGGTCCTAGCCTGCATATCTCCCATGCGCGCCGCATCCGCAGCCGAAGGACCAGACATCGAAGAACCCATGGAAGATGGGGCGCCTGGTCCATTCCGACGTTTCTTGCCATCCTTTGCAGAGTCCTTGACATTGAACTGACCCAATGGGGGCATCTTGACGTCACGGCTCGGAGTCTGAGAAGGAAGAGCATTGGCGTTGGGATAGCTCGGCTCGCCACGAACATTACTCATGGGAGCTGCTTCCTCTGCCTGTCGAGCTGCGGCCTGCTGCTTTGCGTGCGCTGCAGATTCAGGGAGAAATTGCTTGAAGTCTTCCAACAAATCGGGAGCCGTATTGAAGAGCTGGGTGACCTGGGCATACACATCCCCGATTGGTTTGGACTCGCGCTGATAAGTCTGTAGTATCTCAAGGAATTGTTTGTAGATCTCAGGGGCACTTGCAAAGCGGTTCTATCAAAAATTTCAATGTCAGTTGGTTTATCAAATAGCGGGGATGGCTGTTCTGTACCCACCTTTATCTTGTTGACATAACTAATGGCATGGTTGAACTCCACCGGTCCACGCTTGGTCAGATCCTGAGAGCCTTGCAGCATGCCGGTGCCGACGCCGGCTAGATTGTTCATAGGCTGAGTCAGGCTAGGTCCCTGTTGAGACGCTGCTGATACCTGCAATAAGGAAGGACGCGTGAGACCCGCAGAAGCAGCAGAGGCAGCGCCTTGAAGCTGGGAAACTCCTCGCT